CCCTATATAACCCTTATAAGACCCCTATAATCCCTGTAGTTTCTATTTTCTTTTCCATTATCCCTATATAACCCCAACATCCACGAACGTTGAGGCAGGGCCTGCTCGGCCTCGCGCTCCGCCGAGCGCTTTTCCGCGCTCACTGCGCGGCGGTCCAGAGATGCCATTGTTTCCTGCAGGCCTGGGATTTTTTTGGGGTGGTTATATAGGGATAATGGCAAAGAGAATGGAAACTAGAGGGATTATAGGGGTTATGTAAGGGTTTTATAGGGTGGTGTGGTTAGGTTTTGGAGTTTAGGGTTAAGGGTGTAGTGTAGGGTTTAGCGTGTGGGGTTTAGCGGGCGGTGCGAAAGCACAAAATCAATTTCGATAATCTAAATCATCACTACGTATAATAGCAGTAACAGTAAAAGCATTGCTAAGAAGAATAACAGTTGACAACAGTCATAGTAACAATCATGACAACAATTATACTGCAGAATTCTTATGAGTTCTGTCTGGGCACTAGTCTCGCGAGCCGCCAACGATGCTTGAGTTTCTGTAAGCCGGGCTATCTCATCCATCAACTGCCTCTCGCGCAGTTTAGCTGCCTCAGCCAGCTTATGATATTTTGGCCCGCGCCTTCTGCAACATGTTGGCTACTGCTAGGCATATGTCTGCTTTGTTCAAGTCAGGTGTCATCCACCATCTCAGCTTTCTCACGAAGTAGGCGTCCATGGGCTTCCTAGCAAGCATTCTCTGGAATTCAAAAGCCGAAAAACCTAAGGGTATAACAACAATATTGCTAATAATAATAATAACAGTAATAATAATGGCAATAATGATAATGGTGAAAAAAGTAACAATAACAGTAATAATATGCTTCATCGCCTCGGCAAAACGTGCTCGCTCGTCCGACATTGACGTCGCCTCTTCCGCATCCTTGACGCGCTGCGCCCAGCTTGACCTGAGCAGCTTTTAGACTTGCAAGCCAGGAACACCTGCAAAAGAAGAACATCAGAGGAACTTCATCATATGAGCCATTGTCTGAACTCTTGGCATCCCCCTTGATAAGCCCTAGAACAGTACCTTCTATAATCCTCTGTATATAATCCCCCTTTAAGGAGTTTAGATTATAGCTCATATGAAAGCAAGCTGTGCTTACAAGATGCTCGATCTTGAGGATGTGCTCTGCATTGGCTCGCCACTTGCGGTCCTCCAGCTCCCGGTGCCAACTTGAGGCCATCCCTGGGTACAGCAAGGCCGGGCTAATGACTCCATGCCCAGGGTGTCCAGGGTGCCCAGGGTGGAGTAGCGTAGCACCCTGACTTGCTTGGGACGCAAGCGTTCTTGCGCGACTGTTCATCGGGCTGATACCCCCTGCCACATGCATAAGTGCTGTTGGCTCACAGGCAACTGCGAGCCTGGGATCCTGCAGATTTGCAGGAGCATGCACTGCGGGGTGGGTCGGCTGACTCTGGGCCGGTGCTTGAAGTTGCAGACCAGTCTTCTCTAAGTCGGCCTCCACCTCAAAGCCTTGGTTCCAGCTGCGTTGCACAACTGGGTTGAAGAGCAAACTGCAGCAAGTGGGCGCAACAAGTTCAAGAAGTCATTCCAATTGCATAGCTCTAGCATCAAAGACTTTCTAGAATGGCTACCAAAGACTTGACAAACACATCTTCGCAAACTCTTTTCTGCCAAAGCAGGGTATAAACCCTAAAACCCTAAACCCTGAACCCTGAACCCTACCCTACCCTGCCCTGCCCTGTTTTCTGCCAAAGATGACTGCAGTAGAAAAGCTTAGCTTAGTTTGTTTTGGCCGCAGCCTTGGTTGCAGCAGCCCTCTTTTCTCAAAAAGGTGTCCCAGAAAGCCCAATACCCCTTAATGAAGAAATATACCTTAAACCATACTAAGATCCCTAATATGGTTTAAGGATCCTTACTGGAGCAATATACCTTATCATACTATGATCCCTAACATGGTTTAAGGATCCTTACTGGAGCAATATACCTTAAATCATACTCGGATCCCTAATATGGTTTCAGGACCCTTAATTAAGGAATATACCTTAAATCATACTAGGATCCCTAATATGGTTTAAGGAGTATTCCTTAATTCAGGGGTATTGGGCTCCCTGGATTCTTTGCTTTCTGAGGAGTGGCTGTCAGAGAGGATTCGGACCTCGTGAAGCTCTCGCTGGATCTCCGTCACAACCCCCTCGATCCGGGCCAACCTTTCATCTGGGGCTCCATTCATACTGCATGTTGAAGCCACAAGCATCGCATACCCGAACTGAGGCGCCAGCTGCCTCGTGCCCTGTGCAGTGGCACAGCATGATAAGCCCCCCGACCTAATATTTAGCCCTTTAGGCCCCCACCCTAGTATTGAATATCCACCCCCCCAAAAAATATGTGTATATATATATATATACATATATATATATATGGAACCACAATCGAAGTATCAATCATCTGCATGGTGCCAACTGACCCAATCCTGCCTGAGATTTGCTTCTTGGAGGTCCACGCTCGGAAAGGCCTTATAGCACATCAAGTATAGCATGTTCTGAACTACATATATATATATACACAGATATATATATTTACATATATATATACTGTAATCTATTACAACATACGAAGATATACTATAGTGTGCTACAATCGCTCATGACTTGTCGCCACAAGCCTTTCCTTCCTGGTCGTTAGCACGGAATAAAGGAACATAATAGGAATATATTAATCCCTAGCTCATCCCTGTATATCTTATTCTCTTATTCCCTACTTACCCTAAGGCCTAAACCCTATACCCCATAATTTCTTCCCTTATGCCCTACCAACCCAAGTCTAACGAGCATTTGACAAAGCCCCGCCTGGCCCGCTTCGATCGCCTCTGGGGCGAGGCGTTGGCACGGAATTGTGGCCACTGCTCGACCGGGACTGCAGCACCTGATTCGTATCAGGAAGCATGAAGCTGTAATATACTATAGTCGACCCTTATAACATACTATCATATATTATAGTATATCATAACATGTTGGAAAATACAAATATATATATATATATATATGTATACACACATAAAATGCTATCATGCACAAATACCAGGAGAGGCTGGAGCAGCTTGATTCCAAGGCACATTTGCAGCCTCAGCGATGAGCGCTGAGGCCTTGACCTTGGCTGCCAAGATGCAACCACTAGGGGTTCTAGGGATTTAGAGTTTTAGGGTTCAGGACTTTAGGGATTAAGGTTTTAGGGTTTAGGATTTTACGGATTAGGGTTTTAGGGTTTGAGGGTTTAGGGTTTTCATACAGCAGCCAGCACACATGCAAGACTCCTACCGCTGTAAGACCTCCGAAATCGAGGCTTGGTCATAGCTTCTTTCCGAAGATAGGGCTAGCCCGGCTTGAGGGTGTAGGGTTTAGGGTTTGGGGTTTGGGGTTTAGGGCTTACGCTTTGGGGTTTGGGGTTTAGGGCTGAGGGCTAGCCCATGCTACAAGTAATCCCCTCCCCCTAACAGATATTAAATACTTCCTGTACAAATATTGATCTACCACAATGGGAAGTATTCAATATAGGGGGGGTGAGGAGGTGGGGGGGATTTGATATTGGAGGGCCCTTTCATCACCCACATAGCTGAGTTGCTGGAGATGCAACCAGACGAAGCTGTTCTTGCCTGCTCGGCAGACTTTGCCGCGTGCACCGCGCTGGTACGGATTTCACCTCATCTTAGAAGAATACATGGGGGTTTGCCAAAATTAGGGGTACCATTTTGGCGGCTCTTATAATAAGGATTATAGTATACTGGGGTCTATATTGTGGTCCCCTCATTTTGGGAAACTACCACATCAAGCGAGCATTTCTACAGCGATTGGTCTAAGGCATGAAGTGCAGGTTGTGGAGATTGTGGCTTTAGGTCACCCACCCGCCTTACACCGCCTTCCCTGCCCCTCGAACACCACAACTTCATTGCAGAACTTTCCCCAAACGTCGGAAGCTTAAATGAGGTTGAAGGGCAGTAACATCGCTGCTGGCCACCGCGATTGGACTCGCTGGTTCGGAGGGCTCCGAAGATACAGCCATGATGCCGTGGCATAACTAAGCTACAGGGATATAGTCCCCCTTAAGTAGATAGAAGATGGCTTTGGGTATATTACAATGAGATCCCCATATACACCATATTCTACCTACTTAAGGGGGACTATAAGGAGTGAGAGTGCTGCAGATTCGCAAGGACACATCCTGCTACTTCTGGGTGTTGTTGTGCGGCTTAGCTTTTAGAGAAGAATTGGGACGAGGACTCCCAGAAATACTCCTAGTCGTAATAATGAAAAGGTAATAATAGAAGTAATAATGAAAAGGTAATAATAGCTAACACTTATAGCAGCAAACTCAGAAATAGCAATGATAATTCTCTGGCCTTCGCAGTGTCAGTGTATGGCTTTTTGCGGGCTGCTTGATAGCCATCAAGTCCTCGTGAGCCGATGGCTCTCAACAGATCCTTGTGACATGTCACAGAACTGTCGATTTCCCGCGGGCTGGCACCAGCCGGGGCTTCAAACTTCAAAATAGTCCCTGTAGAATGCCCATTAAGCAGCCGCCATTCTCCCATTGCTAACCCGCATTTATATCCCCAAGGCCACGAGGGCCCCGTAAGCTATGTTGAGGGAAAACCTTAAATGTTGCACCATATGTCCGTACATATCCCTACATAGCTCTGTATGTCAATATGAATCCCTTCGTGCTCCCTATATGTCCTTGTACCCTACACCCCAAACCATAAACCCTGGAGCCTGAACCCCAAACCCTAAAC